TAAAACGGCTTCTGGATTTCTTTCACAATTAGGCCCTACATGACGTTCTCTTTTGCATTTCTTAAGTCTGTTGAATTCCTGGACACTCTTCCACGTCTTGCAGGTCTTCCCCTACCCTGTCTAGTTACTTCACTCATTATAAAAACGGAAAACAAAAAAATTAAACACAATCCTTTTTGAAACATTATTTACCAACATTGTCTTTCGGAATAAATTGCAAATAAATAAGTAACAGCTGATAGAATGCAGACGTTTTTCAGTCCCCATGCATTTCTTATGGTGGATATTTTACGTTATATCTCGTTTTCTGGTAGCTTTATGGGAATTCTGCTATTTTTCCCGAGTCCCTGGGGTCAATACCTTTAATTTAAGACCCCTCCCACTTTTCTGCGACTTACCAGACGTCCACAATTTTCTGGTAAAAATTAGGTCTTACAGAATTATATATATAGATAGATATTTAATTTCCACAAAATCAGTTAATGTAACCAATGCGTTTCGTTGAATTGAAAAACAAAGAACACAATTAAATTAAACAGCTGATGTAAACAATATTATGTTCTTCGTAAGGATAACATGGGAACTTAAAATGCCACTGTGGCAGAGGCCAAGGGACTTTTTCAAAAATTGTAGGCCAGTTTGCAAATCTACGCAACACGTTCTTTCCAATGAGACGTCAGTGGATAAAATCGGTTAAGAAATGGTGGAGGATTCAACCGACAAACTTCGTGTTCGCGTATTAATTATATAGATTTCATATGTGCATGAAATGTTGGTGTGAAACCAACTTGTATAACTTTAAGCTAAATGGTTTAAGTTACCTGGCTTCGTCAAGTGATCCTTCATCAGTATTACACTACTATAGTTTCGGACTTGAAAATAAGTCCATCTTCAGAAAACGTCAATAGGTCATCTAACCAAATTGGTTAGATGACCTATTGACGTTTTTGTTAACCTGAAGATGGTCCTCCAGAGGCTACCTCACCATGTATACCTTTGAAGTAGAGGCTATATTTATTCCCAAAAGGTATCAAACGCCAGCTCCTGATCAAATCTTTTCTATCACTTTAAAGTTTGTTTCGTGTTTTTAGTCTTCACGTACAGAGACTTAAATCTTTGTATTAAATTGTTAGCAATCATAAATCGTGGACAGAATCTTCCACAAAAGATAAATACAATATAGTTTAACACCCTAGACCTCCTTAAAAAAATATGTTTTGTTAAGGCTTCGTCATAATGTTAAAAATACTCAATACAACAAATTCATTAATTTTACATATGTAAACGTTGATAGTTGTGTGCGTATACATCTAGTCCTCTATATTTTCTATATACACAAATGCTTCTGTATACACTTTTTTTGCAACTCACAGTAACTGAGAAATATTCTAAACTGGTGAACTGTTTTTATAAATTTTTGCCATTATTTCTCAACCCGTGCTTAAAAAATTAGTGACTCGTGGATAAATCCAGATACAGAATTTAATCTAAATCGGACCACAGGTTTTGTCTGTAGCTCTGTATCTGGATCATACAAGTGTGTATTATATAACCTGATATTAGTCAAAATATGTTTTATTCTATAACGTTTAATTTAATTAAACATAAAAGTCATGCTCCCTCCATTTTTAAAGTATTCAGTCCAAAAATGTAATAAATTTACTTGTGCATACATATTTATTTCGTTTTAATAAATAATTGAGGTGATGCAATACACTTATGTAGGCAGTCGCAGCAGTCGAATCCGGGCATAGTGCCTAAAGTTTCACGAACGCAAACCGCGCAACGAGTAGCTAAATGAGCCGTAGAGTAAGTGAGCCATCTAATATTTTGAAGAGGGTTCACTTACTCTACGGATCATAGTGCCAATGAACTGTAGAGTAAGTGAGCCATCTAATATTTATCTGCAGGCTCGTATAGTATACGAGCCTATTCCTATAATTTATATTATTCATTATTTTGGCTCGTATACTATACGAGCCGATTCCTGAATTATCAAATAATTCGTAAGCTTGGCTCATAGTCACTATGATCTGTAGAGTAAGCGAACCTTCCTACTGTATTTTTAAATATAATACACGAGGCTCATAGGCACAATGATTCGTAGAGTAAGTGAACCCTCTTCATTTATTTTTTATTTTCGATAGGCTCGTATAGTATACGAGCCTGTAGTGCAAGTGAACCTTCAATATTATTTAAAAAGCTCGTATAGTCTATGATCTGTAGAGTAAGTGAGCTGTCCCCGCTCACTATACTAGCATATAGTCTAGCATCTAGCATCTCACTCAGACTCATGACTCAGACTAGACCTGACTCAGGTCAGGCAGGCCGGCAGGGTCCTGACACCGACGGGCGACGAGAACCTTTTCTGCGAAGGAGTGAGGGATTGTGGGGTATTTTTCTAGTAATCGTGGAGGGGAGATTAAATTTTTGAAATACAGTAACGTCGATTTAATTTCTAATCACCCCCTGCCATAACTTAACTTAACCAACCAAACTTGCTGATTATATAAGAAAGATATAGGATAAGATAAAAATTGAATAAATGTTTCATAATCGAAAAAAGTAGTTCTGTTCATAAAATAAAATTATGAATGCCTCAACCCTCAAATTCGAAAAAAAGATGTACAGTTAAGAAGTATTTACATTGTAAGCAAAATCTTTGACAAAAAGTTAGTGTCGCCGGTGGTATAAGATCTGGAAACCCCATATGGAAATGAATGAGCCGAGTACATGTCCATGGACACTTCACTTCGTATCATTGTGGTAATGGTGTTCCCCCACGTGTTCCCTCAAGAGAAGAGAGTGACGCCCATCATCGAAGTATATTAACACAACTACTTCAATACGATGGTGACGCGACACCCCCACTTCTTTGCAAAAGGTTCTCATCCGTTTCTCACTAGGAGCGCGAGACGCTATTTAGGTACTGGCGCACACCACTGGGAGAGCCATGTAGTTACGTTCATAGAAAAAGAATCGCTGCGTAACTACACAGCGCTCCCATCTGTGTGCGCCAGAACCAATGGTAACCGCATCACGGCTGACAGACTATATATAACAATTTTTTGTCTGTTGATATATAAGTTACATAAAATTAAAATATAGTAAAATACAATGCCGCAAACCCGAACTCAAATGGAAGACCGGTACTCGGGTAAATGAGCCGGCTGGAGTAGTATGGCTAGCGAACTTTGAGATAAATGTGTCCATAGATACTGTTCACATGCATGGTGGAAGGAAAAAACATACAACCGGCAATGTCGTCCGCCTAATGAGGTGTTTTAACTTTCGGTTATTGGTACGGTAGTGCGCAAAGTTGTGATTATGTCGAAAGTTGTAGATATTGAAATGCTTATCTATTTATTATCATTACATTACATCAATGATCTGGTGATTTGTCTTAAAACTAAAATCTATTGAAACAAACAAACAAACAAAAACCAAAATATTGAATAGCCTACTAAAATAATCATACATTTTTTTCTTATGACGCTAGGCACGAGCCCGGGGTTGTTTTTCACATATTACTTGAGGCTAGACCTAGGGGTTGCGGCATTATCACTTAGATAAAATCCATTGATGATTTGGCGGGATTTTAACCCGGGACCTCTTGGACCGAAGTCCCGTGCTCTAGCAACTAGACCAGCTCGCTCCCCCTAGAAATATATTAGGAAATCTTCCAGTCAATAAAATGCCTTCTTCAGAAACAGTAACTTAAGTGTTTTTTTTTTCGATATACAATCAATTTATTTTATCGTCGAAGGCAGCTTATAATAAATTTTGAGTCCCATATATTGTGGGGATAAATAATTCCCCCTATCTGAGTCTGTTCCAGCTCGTGTACCGTCAATGTTGAACGTGATATAGGCCTATAAAATTAAAAGCATTTATTTATTTTTTCATTAGGTAAATGGAAAGTTTACACTATAAACTGTAGGTCCCTTAGTTGCCATTAGCTGTATGGCCTATTAATTAACAGATGTGTCTAAGGAATAAGTCGGCCTTTGTCACTAACAAGACTACAAGATCGCACCACTCATTCTACACTCATCTCCATTCATACTTGGCTTAAAATACCTACGTTTTATGGTTGCCATTTCATTGAAAAGTCGTATGAAATAATGGATATTTTTGTGCAAGGTTTCTCGTCATGACGAACATTTTAGGTACTGTATATGGTTTATGGGGTGTGACTTGTTGTTTTCTCAAAAGTTCATGGGTACTTTGGGATTTATAGGTGGATGTGCTAGTATAGACAATTCGTTGCCTAGCATAATATTATGTTACTACGTAATTTGTTTACCTTCTCATTGTTATCTTGCCAGTACTTTCATTGCAACCTTGTAACCAATAAACCCGTAAGGTAAGGCCGATGTTAAAATTTACGTACAAAACAGCCCTTTCGTCTGATTTGAACCATTTTAGATCTATATCCTTTCATAGTTAGTTGATTACTATGACTGTACTAAATTTCACGCTTCAGAATTTAGGAGGAGTATTTATAAAACAAAAGCAGGAGTGTAGTATAGGAGCTCCGCTCAGCTAATACTTGAATGGAACGATAAAAAAAATCGTCCTTAAACCAGGTGTTACGATTATTAGTATGAAATTCGGGCCAGTGACGTCATTCGTTTATGTTTATCCATGTTACATAGTCATATATGCCACGATAACTACATTACTCTTTGGCTTGATTCTTTTCTTTGTACGCAATTCCTGAGGTGACTACGTCATATTCAAATGAGCAACTATGAACATCTGTTTACTAAACATATGTTTTACCAAACAATAGAATCTAGCCAAGATGGCCTCTGTCAAATTTCAAGGATAGTATGTGTCTGACGGGTTCTCTTTATTAATTAGAAGTTGATTAGTTATCATGATACCAGTCCCTTTTCACATTTTGAGAGGAAACCCGATATATCAAAAAACAAACCTCTTTTTCAAAGTAAATTTGGAATTTTGCTCGTTTTAAAGTAACAATATAAGTTATTTCACGTGGATTGAGTTTTCTAACAGTAAGTATTTGTTTTGCTAGTGCTAAGTTATGTTAATTGTTTTAGTCCATCTTCAGTATAACATCAAATTATTTTTACAAATTTGGATTTTTATTATAGTAATAGTGTCAGGTACAAATCTAACTATCAACATCAAGAATTTTCTCTAAGTGAGTTATCATCAGCTGATTACAGACAATGGCCTCCAGTGATAATGTTTTTATGTCTATCTGTAATCTAGCCTACATTAAGTTTAGACTGATAAGTAATTTCTAGCATAAATTTCTAAATATATTGCTGTAAAGATATTATAAAATGACCTATAACCAAGCCTATGTTGTTTGGAATAAATCAAAACAAAGTAAGCTCTTAATGCAAAATGAACTAAGTTAAACAGGGTTAAAGGGCCAACATTTCCTCTCTTTTATGCTAGGTAGCTTGATACATTTTTATTTCTTTCTTCCCATTATTTTGGCATTAAATTGAGCATCGAGGTTTGAGCTATCCTAACTTATTTGGATAACCAATTTGTTTGATGATTTAATTCTTTTGTTTAAATAACAGGGCTGGTTAAAGAGGTTACAAAGTTCTCTAAGCCCATTACCAAAGGCTAAGTTAGGTATTTGTAAAATCCACTCAGCATTTAACCAGCTTAAAAATATGTTAATTTTGAAATGGATTAAACTTTTGGCCAGTTATTATAAGTTATTGAGCCACATTTAGGGTAATCCAACCCTCTGGAGTGTTACAGGCATAGGGCCTAGCCTATTATGAATTTAAAACCTCTTATTTGTTACAATTTATTATATTAAGTAAAATTAGGCTACTTAAGTTATTCAATGGTTAAACTGCCTTCCCTGCACACTAATTAAACTAAGTAGTATATGGGTGCAGCAAGATCGTCTTAGTTCAGTATTCATTGGCCTCTTCAATTATTGAGAGTTGAATAACTCATAAATTATGTATTTGAATGATTAAATGTGGTTAATTTAAAAATTACAAAGGTAATGTTTGACTCAGGATAACATAAACGGTTCAGGTTAATGCTTTTGATACCTAGAACAAATTAAATCTGGGTTATTTTGGCTCTGTAAGAAGCATCATAAGGCCTATCGAGCAGCCCGCTGTCAAATGGTAAAAACTAAGACCTTACTTACTGTTCTTAAACTTACTTCTGTTCTTCTCCGGACATAAAGATTGGGGGAGGTGTCATCTTTTCACCATACATTATATTATTATGCTTGTATTTATGAAATAGTGTTTTGGAGTGTTTTATAAGGGTGTTAATTGTACAAAAACAGTCTTTATGAGACATAAACGATAACCTAAACATTATCTTACCTAATCCAACCTACAGTACCTTCAAAGGACTTAACTTAATACAGTCACTAGTTTGCATAAAGCCTGATCGACCACCCTGACATGCTATTTCTGACATCAAAGGAGTTCTAGAAGTTTTGTTCGGTTAGGTTGTGTTAGAACAGCAGCATTATACTACATATAATCGCATTTTTGCAAATTTCCTATGAGGATTAACTTGTTATATTGGAATTCCACGTGTACGGTAAATGCTTTTTGCCTTATGCCTTAGTCAAAGATAAGGCCTATCAAAATTAAAAATTCCATTGGAGGCTTCAATACTATATAATTACACACTTTTTTCATTTTCTTGTTTTTCTGGTGTATGAGCATAGGCGTGCGCAGGGTCTTGGAATTGTGGGTGCCAGACCTTCCAGGGGGTTAGGGTGGCATGGAATACCCCCCAAGCCAACGGGGGGCCCGGGGAAATGGTTTGAAAATACTGTCTCTGAAAACACCGTTTTTAAGCATGGATAACCTAAGGGTGAGTGAGCGTAGCGAACGAGCTCCAACCTAAAGGTGAGTGAGCGTAGCGAACAAACTTCAACCAGGACGTGATTGAGCCATGCGAACGAGATCATCTTGAAAATTAAGAAGTTAAACGGGGCAAAGCCCGCGGGTTACAGCTAGTACTATACAAAGTTGGATTGTTAATTTATGATTATAATACCGTAGGCACACTTATTTATTCTAATAGATATAACGGTTTAAGAGCACCTTAATGATATGTGAAATTTTTGCCAGTTTGACGTACATTAAGTAATGTGTACAGTCAGTAATTTTCTTATAAAAAAAAAATCTCGACCTATTTGTGGGTGCCACATTGTGTACGGTACGCCTATGTGTATGAGTTTCTGATTTTACCGTCTTCAGTTGTATGTGTGTTCATCCAGGAATTTGTTTAAGCTGTAGTAGGGGTAGGAGATAGTTTTCAGTTGAGTAGAGAGATAGTTGTCTTGCGCCTTGAATATTTTTAAGCTGGTTTGGTAATAGCTTAAAATTATACAAGTATAATTTTTTCCCTCTATACATTGGGGTTCTTGCAGTTCTTTCTAGGCTACGCTGTGGTAAATTTAGGTATTTTTTCCTTCTGGTATTGTAATTTTATGGGTTTCATTTCATTAGATAGGATCCAATTTGATTGCTTGGGCTACTACTTCAACTAGGTATTAATAAATGTTGATGTGAGATTTTTTTAAAGAATGGTTTACAGTTTTCTTGATAGTGAAAATTATTTAGGGTTCTTATTGCTTCTTTCTGAAGTACAGTACAAAAACTGTTTGAAAAAGATCTGTAGGCCTACTTGCTGCGCCCCAGGCGACAATTCCAAAATGGAGGTGCGATTCTGTAAGTTAAGTGCATGGTAGGCAGTTTTTGTTGTAGCAAAGTCTGTCAGACTTGTTATTCTTCTCATAGCACAAATTGATGTGGATAACTTTTGTTTAAGGAAATCAATATGGTGTTCCCATTTTAAATTATTTGGATTCCTAGAAATTTAGTATGATGCAATTTGTTTGGGTTTGATATTTCTTTTGGATTTTTGATGGAGTTTGACTTGCAGGAAAATTCTATTGTGACAGTTTTTGTGTTTTTGATTTTGATTTCTATTGTTTTGCTAAATTCTTCTATGTTTTAGAATATTTTCCATTCCTCCATTGTTTATAAAGAGGTGATTTTGAGGGATTAGTACTGTGGTGTCATCAGCAAACTTATTCAGTCCTTTCCTGAGAAGGTTTTCTGGAAAATTGTTCATCTAGCTAACATGAAAAAATGGAGGGATCTGAGGATGCTTCCTTGTGTGATTCCTTGGGTCATATCTAGAAATTTTGATTTGGGTTTAGTTCATTATTGGTTTTATGTAGTCTATTTCTTTTTGTTGTTTTCTATTTCTGAAGTAACTTTTGATCCATTTTTGTGCATTTTTGAGTGCATTTAGTTTGCTATGAGGGTTTTAAAATTTAGACTGTCAAACACATTTTCTATGTACAGGTAGATTCCTATGACATTGTTATTTTATTCCCAGTTTTTTTGTTATAAAATCAACAAAAACTGCTGTAGTAGTAAAGTAATAGATTTTTGAGGTAAAAATCCATTTATTTTTCAGTTTAGTAGGTTATTTTCATTTAAATGGTTCATTATCTGGTTAAAAATGATTTTTCTATGTATTTTGAGAAAGTAGGCAGTATAGAAATTGGCCTGTAGTTTGTTTTTGACATTTTTTCTTCTTTCTCATGGTTGGATATACTGTTAATATTTTAATTTTATCAGGTACATGTGGATTTAGAATCAAACTGTTTATGATGTCTAAAAGGGAGTCAATTAGTTCTTCTGTACAATATTTTACAACAGAGTTTGATACTTCATCAAATCCGCAGACATTTTTAGGATCAAAAGTTTTAATATGTTGTTTAATTCAGTTTTGTTAGTTACCGTTTTTTGAATTTTGATACGATTTCTGGTTAGAAAGAGAGTTTGCTTAGTCCAGTGGTTTGCTGCGGCCGGGTAACTTACCTCTCCTTACTATGTCGGCATCCACCAGAAACCAACCGGTTTGAAAACATTTGGATTTTAACTTTAACCCATTGGGGAAGGAATTAATGCGCTGCCTGCTGCACTCTCGGTCGGCACTTAATTTTGCCGAATTTGTAGACTTTTACTCTAATAGTTATAAAAAGAAAATCTTAGGTACAGGTAATAAATTGATAATTCTTTCAACATAATTTTATCACGATAAAATTGTCAAAAAAGTGGTAATTGGACAATCAAAGTGTAAAATTTATAAAAAATAAAAAAAACTTAAAAACAAGTAAACTTTATTTACAATTTCCAAGATTGATCCAGACACAAAATTGCACTTTTATCATAAATTTAAATTGATTCCCTACGTAGAAAAATCACCAGTTGTTTACTTTTATAAATAATAAAACTATTTTCTGTAGATCTACAGTATTGGAAATGTACAACAAATTGTGATTGTATTTGTTGAAACTGTCTGAGACATGAACCTTGCTACAAATTGTTTTCAAGATATGATGCTGTATTTTATTGCTGTATACCTCTTGTCCTTGGTCTACTATTTTACAACACCTTTGCCTTGATGACTCATACCAGCTGTTGTTACTTCCCTCATTCATTGGTACCAATATTTTTTATTTCTAAAAATTGTCATTTTTATTTTCAGTTGTAAGGTCACTTTTATATGCAGTTTAAAATTTAAATTATGCTAGGGTGAGAAATTTAACAACTAACTGTTGAAAATAGAACAATATTAAAAAATATTGCAAGATAAAATCCACAAATGTGCACATTTTAGCTAACCTACAGCCTTTGTCTACACAGGAATTTACGGAAATGTTTAAACTAAAAGATTACAACAATAAGAACTCTAGTTTTTTATTGAAACCTTTCAATGTTTTCAACAGTTTATAATTACAACAGAAATGTTGCTTTCCAAAAAAAGTCAAAAACAAAAACTCCTGAAGACTTAAAAAAAATAACAAGCGATACAACTCTAAAAAACCCTAAATCACTTTTTAAAAAGTTAACAAGTTTCTTGTGATAATATTTCCAACATAAAGAACATGGATCTCAGTAAAACTAAAACTTTAAGTCAATAAAAAGCATTTTAATAATATTTGACAATTGCATTTGTTATAGAACTGTGGGCTCTGCTGTTTGTTGTGCGGTCAACTGGTGATTGTTGAACCAGGAATATGCCTTCGACATGGGATCCAAACCTCCATCTGGTAGGCCTAAACTTCATTTTAATTGAACAAATAGTATGCATGTTTAAATGATTAATACTTTTTATCAATGTCACTCGTAAATCTGTGTGAAGCTTATGATGAAGTCTAGAATAGTTTTTAAATGTTACAAAACTTGAAGGATTTTGACAATTCCATAATCTTTATTGATTATATTACTAGTAACTTGCGCCATCTTTGTATTATCTTCATTGATTATATTACTAGTAACTTGCGTCACTTTGTGACTTAAAAATCCGTGATATTGGTATATAGTTGATAAAATTGGAAACGATTATTTCTTATCATTCCCTATTATTTGCATTGCGAGTCCTATTATTTTCATTATGTGCGCAATCTCTTTGAGGTATCTTAGAAAAATTACAAATACTAATAAAACATATTATGAAAACACAAAATCCCATCACAACACAATATCTAACGTAAGTCATTTTCTTCTTTACATTTACTAATAACATTACTACATTTTACTTGAATTCAATGAAACATTACCAACTACAGATAACCCCATTTTCGTATTGATGTAAACGAAATTGTATCATGGCCATATTTTTTGATGTAAACAAATGTAAACTTGAAAAAGTTCTGATGATTGACGACAGAATTCAGCACAATGAAATTTTAAAAGCCTATAGGACAATGGGCTTTCATGGGATATTACCCAAACCCGCAAAAGACACATCTAGAGGATAAGAGCTTTAAATTGATACCCAATATGCCTATAAAAAATATTTAGGGTTTGATTTGCTGCACACAAAAGTCCAACAAATTCCTTTAATAATAAGAAATTCTCGCTAAAACATATGTTAAGTATTGAATTGGTCATGAAATTGTACACATAAGATCCACAAACCCCAAAAACCTAATTCAAACTTTGGATAGAAAATAATGATTTCATTGATTTATTTTATGTTTAAAAATTACTTTTTATCAAGTTGCAATTTTGTATGAGCAAGATATAATTATTTCCAAGCGACAATGTTAAAAAATATATTTCAATTGGCAGAAAACTACTTCTTTGTTGGCCCAGTCAGAACCACAATGGGCTATGAAATTAAGGCAGTGATGTCGTTTGTTTGCATCATGGTGTTTTGTGCTGTACCAGTTGCTTTGTTTAGCACATTCCACACACAGGCCTGGGACTAGGGGTCTCAATCCCGGGATCCCGGTAGATTTTTGATAACTAGAAATCCCAGGATTGACGTATTTTATTCCCGGTTTTAATGGGATTGCAGAACCTATGTTTATATTATTTTTTTGTGAATTTGAGGAGTTTTACTTACGGAAAATAATTTAAAAAATACGTCCAATAACACTTGAAACACAGTATACTGTTTATTTTTAGGACGATAAATATATATATGAAATATGGTATAAACTGTGATCTATTTTGATTGGACACTTTTAATTACAGTAGAACCTTTTTAATCCGAACCCCTCATTGCTGTAGTCTATACACAGTACAGCAGTTCTTTATTCTATACTGTATTTAATGTACAGTACTGTTTATTCACCATGTTTACTACTGTATTAAATAAACACTGTATTTTAATTTATAAAACATTTTTTTCATTTTTCCCAAAATAATTTTGATCAATTTTAGCCATGTTTTAGCTATTGTTACGTAAAAACAACAATATGTTCTGTAATCCGAACTATTCAATAGTCCGAACTACCCCTGGTCCCAATTAGTTCGGATTAAAGAGGTTATACTGTATCATCAAACTCAATAGGCGAACGTAATGTAAACATATAATGTTTCATGTTTTTGGACGAATTGTATTTACTTTCTGTAAATGTTATTACATTAGTTAGAAGTTAATTACACTACGCCTAGTGGTTGTTTTGAGTTTTACTTTTGTCATTTAACGCAAACAACGCAATTGATGTGGCAAACATAACATGGCAACGGGTAATTAAAATATTATTTTTTTAATAACATTAAAGGCCTAAAAATTAACAACAAACGCACCATTATTATTTCATTATTAAGATGCATGACTTATTTATGGTCCAGGCCTATAACTTTATCTTTGTATTTAGTTTTTAGTGTGTTATTAAATTTTTTTTACAATGCAGTATCTTAAATTATTTTATTTCTGTCAGTGAACATAACATTAAATATTATGCTGCAACTCATGATTCTTCTCATGTTATCTTTTTATCTTTATATTTTGGTTTATTTAGTTTCCATATTAGCGTGACATGTACTACATGCGAGTCGTAATTTTTTTAATGGGTTTATTTAATTTAAGAGTGACATATAAACATTCATACATTGTAAATAAGAAAGACAGGTGATGAAAGTTCCGTGTGGTGATATTTCTTTACTTAAAAAACAGAGAAATTGCACAGTGTAACACAGTTAAGGCCAGTTTAAAACGTTAGAGAACTCAACAAGGGGACTTCACGCTCATTTAAAATGGCTAATTGGTTAAAATCATAAAATAATATAATCCCAGGATTGATGAGTCCCGAAACACCGGGATTGGATTGAACCCGGGATTTAGACCCCTGTGGATAAAGAAACTCAAGGTTAAAAGAGAGTGCCAACCTCTTTAAAAATTAATTAAAATAATTCTAAAATACACATAGAGTAGTGAAATGCATGTAACATCATCATGTGGGAAACGCCAGTTTTCTCCAACCCTTTTATAAAGTAAATCACTGGTTTTATTTATAAAAATAAATTCAACTTTGACAAGTCATTCGTGTAATTTTTTAAATTATGTTTCCAAAATGTATAAAAACTTTTAGAAAGGGTTTTGGTTTATCACAGTTTGATAGTATTTGATTGTTCAAGTATTGAATTTATTTTATCAGAATTCTGTTGGGTCTTATTGTTTTTATACAACACAGCAAAATATGTACATATGAATCACCACCTTGTAGCGTAGCTTGCTCAGTGCGTAGATGACCAACGCACTTGGTCCAAGTAGTAGGTCACTGTTTTGGCAATAGGCCTCACAGTTTCTCAGCCTTGATAAACAAATTGAATTGCGTATCTGGATATTTCAAAGTCAATGAATATCATTTTGTGACCATAAATGTAGATCTGTATATTAGGGGCAGTATGTAAGGTCAGGTGAATAAATTTACGTTCCATATTTTTAATAGTAGCCTATCTTTGTTTTCTAGAAGTTGTAATGATTCAAACTTCTACAGTTTGAAAACTATTTTTATCTATTTGGTCATTGGATATACTGTAGTAGCCATGTGTGAAATAAAAACAAAACTTACGTCTATAAGTGAAGGGTTTACATTTCTGAAAGGTTTCATACGTCTCCATTACATTATAAAATCTTCAAAATGTATTACAGTAGATAGAATAGCAAATAATAAGAGCAAAAAAGGTTTATCAATGTTTTAATAATATTGAAATAATAATAATATTTAATAGCATTTCCGTTTTAATATAAATACAAAAAAACAGTACCAAGGAAGTATTATGAGTGAAAGTGCTGACATGATTTGGAGCCATAGGTCAAGCGATTTAAAAAAATCCAAAGTGTTTGTGAAAAATTAGTTAAATTAAAATACAAGCTCTTCTTTCGGCCTCTAAACATAGAGTGTATTAACGACTCGCGCAAGTGTGTGTGTTGAACAGCTGTTGTCGAGGTGAATGACACAATTACAAATACGAATAAAGCAACTTTACCGGTGTCATACAACTAATCAAGAAAATGTTAGTACGAAATTAAACTAAAATGTAGAACAAAACATATGATTTAATTATTTATTTATTTATCTGAACAAACGTTTTAAGAACAACTATTGAACTTTATTTTTCTTGTTAGCATCAAATAATAATATTGTAGGTTTGATATTTAGTTATGGTTGGATGTATGGTTATGATAGTTATACCACTTTGAAATTCTTGTGGTTTGAATATACAATCCAACATGTTTTATTGTATTTTATCGCTGAATCAGATTTTAGAGGAGTTCTTATTGAGTAATTTTTTGTGTGCATTTGAAAAAAAATAATTTTATTTTGTATCTTATACATTTTTTTTAAATATGCTAATCAGTTGTTCTTATGATTTCTAATCTAGAAAAATTAGTATATTATTAGAGTTTCGCGGACTGTATCTGTTGAGCCATATTATATAGCAAAAAGTGTTGTGTTATGATAGAATTAAACTAGGTTCAATTACTTTTTTGTTTACCTTTAAACCAGGATTTTACCTTTCATTACCTTCATGGAAGCTAATTAATTTACTGAATTAGTTACTTCCCAGTGTAGTAAATGCTACATTCCATTAATTCTTTATTAAGTTTTCTCTAAGATATACCTATGTGTTCCCTAGATACAATTATAATAATTTAAATTTCTAAAAAGTATTCCATATTGGTATTTGTACAAGATTTTATTTCTTTTTAATCTGCTATCCTCACTATGTCATTTTATAAAACTTTGACACATCGGACTAAGTACGGTTGAAATTTTTCAGACCAGTCTCCAGGGGTGGGCCCCCAGTTGCGATCGCACGGCCCGGTGGTTCAGCAGTGCTCGGTTTGCAGGCATTCCCTCGAAGCATGTCTATGTGCCACTCCATCCACGTCCGCAGGCCCACCTGCGCGACGCACGAGACCAAGAAAGCGACCGCCGCAGTCAGAGCGGGAGGAGGCTCCCCCCACGGCGCGCAGACAGCTGTTCTCAGAGAGTAGAGCACGCCACTCCTGCCCTCACTGCCCCAAGAGCTTCGGCAGTCCCGGCAAGCTGAGTCAACACCTTTACTCTCACACAGGAGAACGACCGTTTGTGTGTCAGCATTGCAGCAAGGCCTTCTCATCTCGCTTCAAACTGGTCCGCCACGCTCTCATACACTCGGACACTCGACAGTATCGGTGTAATACCTGCGGACGGACTTTTCACCGAAAAGATCACTTGAAAAATCATTCTAAGGTTCACAGTCCTCTGAAACAGCGGTTCAAATGCGATCGAGAAGGTTGTGGAAAAGAGTACAGTTCTCCGATTAGTTTTCGAAAGCACGTAGCCGTCCACGCGGCGGAAGACGGTAATCTCGAGTGTACGATTTGTAATAAAGTATGTGCGACAAAAGAAGAAATAGTTTTGCATTTAAAAATCCACGCCGGTTCTCGGACCGTTAAAACACAAGCGGATCGAAAATACAGATGTGAGTATTGCGAGAGAAGCTTCTTCACCGGAAAGGATGTGAGGCGCCATCTGGTCGTTCATACCGGTAGGAGGGATTTTTTATGCCAGTTTTGTCCTCAACGTTTCGGAAGAAAAGACCATCTCGTCAGACATATAAAAAAGAGCCACAACCATGGAGGGAAGAAAGGAAAGAAAAAGGCAGATCAGAAAACAAAGTCCGTCACCGCTATATTGGAAGAAGCTTCTACTAGCAGACTAGAAGACGAGGAACTCCCACTGCTAGACGTTAAAAGTGAAAGTAGATCTTCTCTCGGAATGTTCGACGACGAGGAAGATGACGAAACAAATTTACCTGCCAGTAGTGAAATATTTAAAGCGGACTCTGAAACGTTGAGACAGATCGGTCAACCAGAAGAATTACTGTCGGAAACAAGCGGAAGCATGATGTCCGATACAATTTACCAAAGCCCACCTCCCCCATACCCTCATCACATGTCCAGCCTCGATCCAGGTATGAGTTATGAAGAGATTCCGAGGGGCTCGTCGTCAGAAGTGATTGATATTAAAGCCGAGGAGTTTATCACTCTTCTGCCTCATCAGTTCCCTCCCAACCTCCTGCTGACCACTGCGGACGAGTCAGACCCCCTCCCCTTGTCAATCATGTCTGGCAGTCACTTCATGGAGGTGGAGGAAGAACAGTCGTTGAGCAGACAGATCCTGCAGATGTCTGGTCCTAGTCAGGGCTCCTCCTCTGATGCTGACTTGGTCATACCAGGCTTCTTGTCTCCCAGAGATACTCCTAGTAGCTCTACTCCGCTGCCGGGCTTCAACCAAGCTTTCCAACAAAATCCGTAACATTTACATTGGTTTGATACTTATACCTATGACTATGATACAACTAGACATCCCATTCCCGGTTAAGTTACTGTCAGCATTAGAATGAATATGGACTTAACTTAATTAAGCCATCAACAAAGAAGGAGTCAAACTGATTGAATCACTTATTGTAACCCATAGTATATTTTGTGTAATTTCAACTGTCTCAGTAACAAAACTAAGGGATAAAATAAAGTTTTAGACTGTAGCGCACTGCATGACTGGCTTATCCAACCAAGTTCTTTATGAATAAAATTTGGCCACAGCTGGTTCATATAGATGGGATGTCTAATTCAGTATTTTAAGTCAACGCCTAACTACTTTTCAGTTGAGGCTGTATTCGATGAATTATTTTCTAACTCTTGAGTTCTTCATAAATTCTGTTTGTGTACGTTAGGACATTTTTTCTAAGCCCTTCTGGGCCTAGACAATAAAATCAGTACACACTTCTTCTTTTCAGTCTTCAACTACAAACTAGACGACTTGTTATTTTATGAGTTTTAAAATCTCAACCCGGTCCAATATTTTAGCTGTGATAAGTGATTAAACCACCCCATGAAAATACTACCTCCATTTCTACAACTTTACAAGTGACAATTTTATATCAATAACCTGCCAACCTGAGATCTTATACCACATAAACTATGAAACATTAAGGGTGTGCCTTACAATATATTCCCACATAGGCCTACTAGAGAATTTTAAAGCGCTGGAAATTGTTTAACTAAGGTGATTTATATTACCTGTTGAAATAAAATTGACATATTACATCACTTAAGAATTCTACATACATAGCTACTTTCAAAAATGATTAGTGTGAACAAATGTTGCAACCAGTTTTTGATAATATAAATCTAAAGTCTTTAATCTTTTAGAAATTTAAGAGTGGTTGTAGTTTTTACATAATGTAATTATTGTAAAACATTTTGTTTTCAAATACTTACTAACTTTGTGCAAGAATTTTCATTTTTTAAATTCATTTAGTAAAACTAAAGTATAAAGATATAAAAACTGTTGTTGTGTATAATTTGTGTTATGTTTTGTGTTAAGTTACCAGAAAAGTGTTATCATCATGACTTGTTAATTTTTATAGAGAAGTAGAGGTATTTGGAGCCTGATAAATACAGAACTTCATTTAAAGTAAAAAATTATCATTACATAGCTACCAATTGGTGAAGTTTAATGATAGTTTACCAAGATTTGTGTTATATCCCTCCATAGATTGATTTTAACATATAGTTTGTCTTGATTCTCGATTTAAAAAAATCCACAAATAGAATCATGAACTCTCATTTATTTCTTTTATCTGTCTTACACCAAAGTGGTAGTTTGATTGCTATATGTTATATTGAATTACACTGTGTTCTATTTGTTAGTATTATTTTACTAATTTAAATGTATTAAGTTACATTTGTTTGTAAATTAATCTTAAGTATGCAATATTATGTTTCAAACTGTTAAATTACTCCATAACTGTAATTCTAATTGAAACTCTGGATCTGGTTAACTTACCTCTAAAGTTTCTGGTTGGATGGACGTCAGTTACCGACACATTCCCGGCTTAGCCGCCATGACACCTTCTGCAGATCCGCAAATTTAGATTCCATTGTAGCGTAGGACTTTCCATTAGGTTATTTAGTTGTAAACGTATTTTACAGTACATCTACCTCATATATTTAAGACTTAAGTCGGATGCAAGGTTTTTGTTTCGAGCGTGTTATTTATTTTGGATAAGGTTGATGTTCCTACGACGTCGGCCAAGGGCCTTTGTTACTATCGGAGGAGGAGAAACGACGATCGAATCCGTACCAAATCAGTTCTCGGTTCTCTTCTCGCCTCGACTCTTGTTTGTAGCAGGAAATCAAAATTGTGCCGCTGTTGATGAAGTCGTACACGCAATCTTGTGTAGTCTTTCCTTACCGTTAATTCCATGTATTGTTATTTGTAACTGTTTGTTACCTTTACGTTTTCAAAGGTTTAACCAAGCTTTATCATGTTGTATTTATAATTAATTACTAATATTCGCTTTTATATAAATGTTATATGTATTTTTAAAATGTTACCTTTTCTATGAAATATTCGTTCTAAACTACTTAAGACAGATTTACTAGAATGTTTACAATGTTTCAATAGTATTACATTATTCACCAAGTGCCTCGTTGACGGTGCTTCTGCTCTGCCCTCATCAACAGCCTCGTTATCTTTAACGATATAAGATGGTGTATATTTATATGTTGTACGCCTAAATCATTATTTAGGTTTAATATTAGTCAGTAAGATCACGGTTTGTGGTGTTTTTGTTGGTCATTTTGTAATTTTAGTTATACTGTTTTGTGCGCATTATATTTAAGAGTTTGGTTGACCTTTTTTTGGAGGAGCAAATTAAGGATCATGATCAGATTTGTAAAAACGAGTCTCTTTAAATCCAGTTTTATATTAATTCCTTTTTAAGGATCCTGAATTGATACAGCTCTTAACCCTTATATATTTACAATTTTTATTTGATCCAGGATATTGCATTGAGTCAGCTTTAGGTGAATATTTTAGCAATCAATAAGCGATGCAATATTTTCAGAATATAATTCCAACGGTTCTCATAAATATGTTTGACAACAGATGCACCACGGCCGATTCAGATCTGTGATACAATAGGTTAAGAACAGTTAATAATTGAGTTTTTATATCTTTACAGAAAAATTGCAGATATTTTTTATGTTATTTGTTCAAAGAACCCTACCAATAGAAGAAAACATTTTGTATATAATACTAGAACGACTTAGTTACCACCTTGTAAGTTTTAACTCGTGATTATTTTGTTACAAGGGCAATGTGGATTCCACTTCAAGCCTCTAGCTACTCTTCACATAATAATATGTTACAAAAGCAACTGGTTACATTTTTTACACTTTCTTATTATCAATAAAAATATTGAAAGTAGAGACATCAATTAAATCTTTTATCATCTAATTAATGCTAGTTTTTTTTTTTTGCAAAACTAATCAATAAAAGTAAGTTTTTATTTCCGAAACCAATATAAAAAAAGCAATTCCAATTAAGTTCATAAAAATTGCAAAAGTGTTGTCAGAAGTTGGAATCCACATTACCCTTATTCGAGCAGTGCCTTACATGAAGTCTGTTTCACCATTCTGTACCTGATGACTTGTTAAATACATATTGTAAAATACAAAATATATAAATACTTAAGTGTAGCCATAAGGTAGATTAGTTAAGGTAGTGTTAAGAGGCTGAAAAGCTTTCAGGTCGTCCCACACATAACCACTGTTTCCTCTGTAAGAGAGTGTCCATTTATCCAACTGCACTATTAACTCGTTTATTATTATTTGTAAAATTTATTGGTCTTTGAATAGACAAACCTCTATAGGTTTATGGTGAATCACTGAATAACTATGGTTAAGATAGTTACCAGCCATTAACTATTTTAAGTTCAATATCCATTTTTCCCTTTTTGAATGAGTTTTGTGAAATGCTGCATTATCCTAGGTGAAAAAGTTTAATTATAATTTCAGGTTTTCTCGATAATCATTAGTTTGGGTTCTGATGTTCCTTAAATAGCCAAAGGATATTTATATTATTCATTTATTTAAATGTACACTTAAAAAATTGGAGTTGTTCTATTTTGTCATATAAAAAAGCAGATACCTTTGTTTTCTTTGTTGTAGTGTGAAATTAAGTTACTTAGGGGGCTTACACACGATGATTTTTGAAGGTGTAGAATTGACAAATAATACCAGCAGCCATCAACTTATTTTGTCCAATGCCTAAGGATAGAATTTCTTGTATCAGTACTCCTATGATAATATTTCTGTAATGGATTGTATGTAAGGCCTATAAATGAAGTTGCCTAAGACGGGAGTATGATGTCACCAGCAGAACCCTGAACAGAGCTGCTTTTATTGTAAACATCTGCCACCTGTCAGAATTTTGTTTGTTTTTGCGTAAGTTTGTGGGATGGAGTAATTAGCTTTTCTCGAGTGTAATTTTAATTTTAGGTCAACCAGAGTGATTTAAATGCCTGGTGAGCGGTTTGCTGTAATCTCTTAAAAATGTATATAACCAGAAAATACTTGTAAAGCAGGAGATATAAACTAACACGACACCATTATATCTAATATATAAAATTCTCGTGTCACAGTGTTTGTCTGCAAACTCCTCCGGAACGACTTCACCGATCGTTATGAAATTTGGTGTGTAAATTCTGTAGGTATGCGAATCGGACGTAAACTATTTCCCGTTTCGAAATTCTTAAAAGGGCTCCGCCCCAGTGGTTCTGGAGTTTCCCATGTTAACCTTTTGAGAAATGGAATTAATGAATCTTAACAGCTGTTTCAATTAAACAAGTTGGTTCTGTTCTATGATGTTCAATAGCATTAAAGTTACAAGGATTACCAACAGGGTGCAGCACTATTATTTCTTTTACATTTATGACAACAGCTAATTTGCAACCAAAAGGTGAGTGAGCGTAGCGAACGAACTTCAACGTGGAGGCGAGTTAGCGTAGCGAACGAGCTAACCTGAAGGCAAGTGAGCGCAGCGAACGAGCTCCAACCTAAAGGTGAGTGAGCGTAGCGAACGAGCACCAACCCAAAGGTGAGTGAGCGTAGCGAACGAACTTCAACCTGGAGGCGAGTTAGCGTAGCGAACGAGCTAACCTGAAGGCAAGTGAGCGCAGCGAACGAGCTCCAACCTAAAGGTGAGTGAGCGTAGCGAACGAACTTCAACCAGGACGTGATTGAGCGATGCGAACGAGATCATCTTGAAAATTAAACGTAACGGTACTTTCTTTCCATCGGTCTGTCTTAGGGGAAACCTATAACTTAGGCGATACGAAGTTCGCCGGGTCAGCTAGTTTCTTTATAAAATTACAAATAAATAAATTTTTTTATTGTCTGTAGCCGGATATAACCTCTTGAACTACCTCATGAACAGTCTAAAATACTTTTTATCATAGATTCTTTAAGAACAAAGAACTATGCATAGCTGCTGCACACGGGCTTATAAAACATTTAATCCTTGTACTGTACTTACATAATTTGTTGAATGAATACATAATACACTCTAGTTGAATAAAAGAAAAGTAAATTACTTCATCACTCAGAACTTACACAAAAGCGCACATCTGACTGGTTGCATCTGTATGCTTGAAAGCAGCACCGTCTGGGTCGGCGGATGATGTTATACTCAAGTCTTAGGCAACCATTTGTAGTAGCCATGGATTGTGTGTAGGTGTTCAAATTGAAAACAAATTTTAATAATATTTAGTGCCCATTGACCATATATTTGTGTTCACTTTCTCATCTACAAACGTCCAATCACTAAAGCACTCTGCGTTATGGAGATGTATTTAGGTTGGTGCGCAACACTGGTTGCAAGTAAAACTTGTTCACTACCAGCCAACAGCTAAATGGTTGGACATTCCGTGTATGAGCCAACACCTTTGTACAGTTTTAAAATGCATCAGAGTGTTATTCGTTGATTTCAATGAATGAAGTAAAGGTTACACTGTATTTACAATATAATAATTTGGTAATTGCTACTACAGTGTGTCGTAATTTCCAAGAAAACTCTGAGCTGCATAGAAGTATTCTTTTACTCAAGATGAAACTGATTTGTACCTTGTAAAACTGAGGGAAACAGTGGTCTGGACTGGGCAGAAGATTCAGTATAAACTAAAAGTTGTGTCACGGAATTAATTTAGTCGTAATCAGCTATCAATATCCAAAAATTAACAATTCACTGTACACATTTACCCACCCACAACTGTAACACTAAACGATTGTCATCAATGCAGACAATTATGGCCAAATAAAACATTTGAGACTAATTAAATTAAACACTGTATCTTTATTATCCTTTGTTGTTTTGCAATTTTGTACAGTCTATATGAGAAAAAAGTATTTAATTTATTGCAAATTTTATAATTTACCTTTATTGGTAATATTAAGTAAAATACCAGAGGGTTTGGATCGGTCCCTTGAAAAAAAGTAAAAAATGCCACTGGTGTATATAAAACCAGAATAATCTTGTCACCTAAATCTGAGCACAGTTATTTCACATGTGCATGTAGGCCTTCATATTATTTTTGAGTAAATACAACAATAAAAAGTTAAACAAAGATATTTATCTTAATGATCACAATTATTAGTTGAAATATTTGGTATTTAAATTAAAAAATCTATTTGTTTGAAAATATATAGGCCTATATTCATTATAAAAACAAAAAGATAGTAATATATTTTTGATAGATTACCCTGAGATTTTGTTGTAATCCACAAAAGTCAAATCTTGGGACCAGACAACATTGATTAAACATACCAAACGTCTTTGGTAAGTTGCTGCACTATCAACTTACTTGCTTAGGATTTGGCACTGGTGAACTAAAAGCCCAAATGCACTAAACGCCACGAACGATACGAGCGGCCTCTAGCATCGGGTCTAATTACATGTAAATTTGTTGAGGCTAGCCACGATACATCTTCATGAGCGGCAGTAAGCAACGTCGCTCATGGATCCAGGTCCAAACCGATTTTTGCGAAAACGCCGCTCGCCTCTTAGGTGAGTCATGTATCAGTTCAGCCAATAAAGTCAGAGGAGCAGTAGCAAACGTATGAGCCTCCAGCAAAACTCAAGAAAACAGAGGTTAAGGTGAGTGATTCTGAAATTAGATGGTAGTTTTCCCCAAACACTCCTCTCCTCGGTTGTTCGGATGTAATCCCATCGGCTCCGACGCCTCTGGCTTCTAAAAACTAAGTGTTTCTCTAAAAGAGAATTGTCAGATAACAACAATAGTTGTAATACATCTTGTGGGTCATCACAGTTTGCCATCTTTGACTAAACTGATTACGACAGAAGAAATTTGATGAGTGTTACAAAAGTTACGCTTGTATCGTAGCCACCACCGCCACTTACGCGTCGCTTGCAGGTTGCCACTCGTATAGTACCCAAGGCCCTACAGTAGTTCTAAACTTGACTGTCTTCAGCACATGCCTTATATATAACTTTCAGCTGTTTTTATTGAATATAGATAACAGCTGGTCGATGTTGTCACTAGTAAATAATAATACACGGACAAACAAAATGTGACTTGAAGGTTATGCATGCAGCACTCTCCACAATTATTTTTCATCGTGAACATAAAAGTTTTCCTGTACTCTTAGTTCATAGGCTCATTTGTGTTTGGGAATACAACATTTAATCAGATTATTATTTTTTACTTCCAGGGATTGTTCTTTCTTATTGAATTGAGATTAAAACTGAGGATTAAGAAAAAACAAGCTGTCTTCATTGTATGTATAGTTTTAATTTTAAATTTCAGTGACTACTTGAACATAAAATCTACTACAACGAAAACTGGGCATCTCTAGGGTAAAATGTAAAACTATCCTGTATAAACTAAATTAAATTTGTACTCCGTATGAATACGATACTGATGAAAATAATTATTTTGTTGATAATCTAGCCTAGATTACGAGGTAGACAATTTACCAATTGTAATACACTTAAAATAACTAGTTGAATCATAGACTGAATAACTATAATGTAACCTAATGAATAAGTACTTTAAGTAGTAAATATCTAATATATAAAGTTTACCATGTTTGTTCAAAGAATAACCTCATACAGAAGTTAATATTTGGTTCTGCTATACAAAGAAACGTGCTTAATTGAAATGCAAATAAAGTATACTCCCTCTTATCCGGACACCTTTTAACCGGACATCGGTTTAACCGGACTACACTTAACGGAAACTACATCTCTTAAACCGGACAATTTTTATCAGCACATCGTTTTAACCGGACTAGATCGGCAGGAAGTGGGCGATACTGCAACCATTGTTCTCTTGGGAAAGATTTGAGACCAGTGATCACGTGTCTAAATACAATGCTCTCCTAAATTTAAGTCAAATACTGTATACAGTATGCATTTAAACGGGTGATGTCGGTTTAACCAGAAAACCCGTTATCTAGACGGGCCTCGGTCCCGAGGAGTCCGGATAAGAGGGAGTTTACTGTAGTAAACAAACACTTTTTAAAAAATAGCTTGGTTCACTTTTACAGTTTTAAATATATAAAAAATTGTCATATCTATGTTTATTTGAAAGACCATCAAAAATGAAAGTCAGAAATAATTAAAACAAAAACTAGAAAAATTGATCATGAATAATCCCTGAATGTATTTTGTGTAGCACCAAAAATTTAACATAAAATAACTAATTTTCGTTATAGTGGTTGTCAATTTTCTATCAGAACTACTGTATCCAAAAATTCTACACCTACAACATATTACCTTTATTTAATAAAGTATTGAACATTATAGAATTTTAAAAGTTGTACTTTATTCTGACCGTTCAATCATTGAGGTGAAGGAATTATAGTAACGTGTATTAACAAATCTAAAAAAAAAACACACTAAATGTCCTTATTTTTAGTCATTTAACTCTCTGAATCTTAAATTGTTCAATGCCTGAGAAAAGTGTAGAATCAGCCGTAAAAGTGAATGTATAAAAACCCTTTACTGGGATAGATGAGCTATAAAATATCAGAGAGTTTCCAAACTTACTCCTAGGGACTAGATGTGATTAGATTGTTCCTAGCTAGAAAAACAAACTACGCAAAAATACTATAAAAATGTCAGGTCCATAAATATTTATTGGTCTTTGTAATGTATAAAGGATTTTTTTTGATTTTTCAATATTTTACATAATCTACACTTTGATTTTCCAACTATAACTATACTAGGTTTTCATCTAATTTTGACGGATAAAAAGTCGATAAAAACCTGAAGGCAATACATCAGACTTTGAACGCTTTGGTCAGCCGGAGTAATGAGCAATTTGTGAAATCACAACTAATTAAAATTACTAAAATCCTATAATAGACCTACTGAAAATCGCTAGAAAATTCCAAAAGTTATCTATTGATAGTGACTACCACTGGACCCTATGACAGATCTGCTGCAGTTCGGTGGCAGTGATGTAGCCGTACTTCTGGTCGTAGCTGGTGTACTGTGAGCTGGCCGGCTCCTTGTGAGAGACCCGTCTCATGTAGCCGCTAAATCCCGGAGTTGGTTTTGGTTTCTGCGAGATCCTCATACCCTTGTTTATTATAACCTGTAAGTTCAACAATTAGTTGTAATTTTATTCACCAAAGTTAGTAGTAATTTTGGTACCAAAACCAATGTGATTGCCATTAGAGTCGAAGATTGATGAATGTATTGGTTTTTTATGCTTAATAAATTTCCTAAATGCCAGGGGCCCATTTCATAATAAACTACAGGGTGGGGCAATGAAAGCGCCCCAATTTATAAACAGTACAAACTCAATAATATTCACCCTATGGATATAAATAGCACACCAAAACACAGCTTATCTTTTGCCATTTTATCTTAACAAAGTCATATTTCAATTTCTTGAGAACAAAACCCAAAAATTGACTTCATTGTCCTACTTGACATTCCTTTTTAGCCACTTGAAACTCCATCAAATACTCCTCCAGCACTTCTTTAGGAATCACTTTAGTTTTTGGACTATCCTTAGCTTCGGTTCTAGCAAATCTGTGGGGTGACTTTGAAAAACCTAGAACGTCAAGTAGCTTATTAGAACAACCCCCCCTCCTCCCAAAAAAATTAGCCAACGTAAAGCTTTCAACAACAAAAGCTTCCTGGCAAATCTCTTCGGACTTTGAGTTACTGGGACTCATATTCTTTTAACATTTGCTGGTGTACAAAGAGTTTTGCGGCACCCACCGATTATTTTTTTTTTTTGTTTAAGCGATTATACTAAATAATTTTACCCAGTTCAACATTGTTTTCCAATCTGGAACAGCACCATGTTGACCAAGGATGGAATACGGTCCAAACAATCTCTGGGTTTTTTCACAAGAACCACTATTTTATAAATAGGTTTCCACATCAAAATCTCTGTGTTAATAGCCTCAGACATAATATTTACTAAAATGGCATAGTTTAATTGATGTTTTAAGCACAGCTGATCATTCATTGTTGCAACAATTAACATGTGACAGGTAAAACAAATTGTAGCGTTCTCATTGCCTCACCCTGTACAAGTTACAACTTGTAACTTGTAATTTCCATTACAAGGAAGACAGCTACATTTTTCGCAATGAATCCACATTTTGTGCACCATGAATAAAGAATGCCTGGTACAGATTCGATGCCAAGATCCCAGTTTCTTTAGTCAGGACCTCTGATTGAAAACCAGGTACAGTAAAGATAGGTATAACACTCAAGTAAGATAATGTGTAAATTGCTACAATTTTTTGCTGTATGGTACCAATTACATTTCTACATTCTGTTTATTTATGGCCGTGTGTTTCCCGTACTGATGGGCAAGAACTCTTCATATGCTCAAAAGATTTAGTTCATGTTAAATTCTTTTTCAAACATCATCCTCTAGGACACCCTGTCACTCGCTATCATTATCTTTCCTTATCGATAAGAGGAAAATCTTCATTTAAAGATTAGTATTGGTTTTACAGTATTTGATTGATTCAGATTTATGGGTTTTGGCTTGATTTGACCAAGAAATCATAGTTTTCACCAATATTATGAAATTTGTTACCAACATAGAGTAAACTCTACTCACCGGCTGGGAGCGTTGCAAAGGAACAGTCTCTTTGATGGTGGTGAGTGTGACAGTGTCATGATGGGACTGATGGCTCCCCTGGTGGCTGTACTGGGAACCAGTAGAACTGCGACGAGCCAATGTTGAGCGCACTGCACATAATAATCTACATAGCCTTTACAGATGACAAACACAGCGGTATATTCCTACCATACAAATTTTACCCTAATAAAACCTCACCTTTTCTTAACAGCTTTGTTAGAACTGGGACATCAATGAAGGAATTTGATAACAACCAAAACATAATTATGCAACTGGTATGTTTGTGAAATTACTGTTTAACTCTAAAAAAACCTCATTATGAACGTAGGTATATCCATTACTTAACAAGCTACTCACACAATGTTTATGGCAACATTATTCTTCTTCAAAAGTGCTATTCTACCACACCGACCTTATCAGCTGTTTTCAAAACATCATTTGACGATCGAAAGTAGTGTTTTGCAGGCCAGGACTGAATCCAGATACTTCCAGGGCTGGGACTAAAAATGTTGTCTTTACAGCGGAAAATGTAAGCTACTGAGTAATCTAAATCGTTGGACTATTTATTGGAGGAAAGTAAACCTCAAAGTTCTAAACTATTTAAGCCAGAACTTACAACGCAAGTTTAAAAAAAAGGTGTTTACCGGGATTGGAAGAAGATGTGGAGGTACGAGGCGGCAAAGCTGCGCTGGACTTTTGTGTTACTACTTCCTGCGTAGGTCTGCGTGTGTGGCGGCTAGTCTGCGCTCGGATAACAGGCTCTGATAGCTTCCGTCCACTGTAAGTAGAATCGTCACTAATGGAATAATCACAGAAATATACCACTGGTTGGTATAAGCTTGTCAGTGTGCCATTGCATAGTGACAATCTAGTAAGTGCATGAGAGTAATTTGTAGGAGAGGTTCCAGTGGCGGAGTTAGGGGGTGGCTGAAGGGGCTGCAGCCCATAGCAGCAGATTGTAGAAGTATGTTTTTTTTTTTTTTAGTTTGAAATTCAAAAATATATTTAGCTTAAAGACAAAAATACACTTCATAGCTAGGAAGGTTGAGGATTGAAAATTAAACATGGAAGTAACTACTTAATCAGACGTACTGTAATGATCAATCCATTCCACATTTAAGGTCCACTAACATCACGCACCAACCAAGCTTCCTGGCGTGATGATTCATTTTCTCGTGAGTTACTGATGCAAGCAATATTAGGCCACAGTGGTTATTATCAACTATGATGTTGCTTGTTGGTGAGGGATTTGCCAAAGATCACGCAATAAGTAGCCCTTAGCTGAACTTCACATCAATTACCTGATAATATCACCATACTCTCGTAGTACTGACAGCGACCCAACATGCTAAACTTGTCAAGTTCATGTGGAAAGTTACTCATCAACATGTCCCAATGAATAGAATAGTTTCTTAGTGCAATCCGTATTTTTAAATTCCATAGGTAATGTAGCTGATTAAACAATGCACAACATTATCATCATGAACAGATGGTTATGATAAGTTAAAGCTGAAATTCTGTTAATCTTAGTAGCTGCACTCTCCTGGTTGTGCTGAAAACCTCCTGCATTCTTGTTTCTCTAGATAACGCTCCTCTTCTTCCAGTGTTTCTTATTTTCCTTACATCGTCTATTACAATTTCTAGCCATTTTTTGTGTTCACATCAAAACTTCCTCTTTCCCTCAATTTTCCTCTCAAGCACTTTTCCTTCATCTAACAGGGTTGCCTCCAGCCATGAAAACCTTGAAAAGCTTGAATTATGCATTAATTATTGTTACCATGAAAAAAGGCATGGATTATGCATGAATTTCTCAAATGGACCATGAATTTTCAATATCAGGAACAATTACTCAACAAGTACCATTACATTTTTCAAATAACAAATATATCATTTTTTTTACAGTTCATAGAAACAAACACCATGAAAATACTGTGTGGAGATGATTATTTAACATGTTCCATGGTCAGAAACAATTGCTTATTTCATTCCAAGTCATTCAAAGATGATGATGTCAGCTAAAACTTCCCGAAGACTGTATATGGTTCGAAAAATCATTAGTAGGCCATCCCCTGCGTATGAAAAAGGAGTATAGGGACTTAAATCACAAAAACAGAAGTTTTAGACCATACACGGAAATGAAACGGGGTGCGCAATAAAAACGGATTTCCGACTGACGCCTGATTTCTTTAGCTTTTTGGATAAAACCAACATATCGTAGTACGTTGTGGAATAAAGATAAACCAGAATGCACATTTTATGACAATTATGTAGGGGGATATAACTGGATGAAACAGGACTTTTTTGGCTGGGTGAGTGGGATTTTTGTTTTATTCCGGTGGAAAGACTGAATTAGACCTAGACTTAATATATTTTACAATTCTTCTCCAATATCTCATATAGAATATGAGCTGGACCAGTTTTGTTTTCAACTTTGTTTTGATGTTTATAAATCACTCTAAAAAAGTTGTATATTAAGTATGAAAGGTTATTAAAAAGTAACACACAAAGAAACTGCCTCTTTAACGTCAGTTTATGAAATCAGCAAAACTCAATTGTGTTGAAATTATATAAACGCATCGACCATGAATTTTTTGTAAACTACCAATGAAAACCATGAATTCTGCATGAATTTTATCATCCCACTGTGGTGGCAACCCTGTCTAACCTTTTCCGTGACCAAACTGAAACTACCATAGATTTTGATCAAGTATATCAATTTGAAACCAAGAATATACAATAGAACTTACTTTTCCCCCTTGTTGGTTGGTTTGCTCAGCTTACGCTCGGCTCTGGAGATTACTTTATACAGTTTGTTGCGGTATTCGTCCACACTCAGTTGAATATCATCTCTAAGCAGCGGAACTATCGAAGTGACAAGGGCCGGCTCAGTGTTAGCATTATGGAACCTGTAACATTCGTAACACTTTAGCTAACTTACACTTAAACAATGCACATAAAAATAAAAACTTAGCAGTTTTCGCTAGTTCATCCTGACTGATTACACACATTTTGGCTCTTAGCCATCGTCAGATCCTCGTATAAGACCTTATCTTGCTTGAAGAGGTGTGTCAAAAGTTCAAAATAAAATGTAGGCCTATCTATTATATTATTAAAGTGATACAACTAAATTTTATGTAAACGGTTAAGGCCATTTACCAAATAAAAATATAGGCATATAGCACATCAAAATGAAGCTTAGAGTGTGTAGATTTGCCGAAAAGTATTGATATGGACGAATTTCCTCAGGGCCCCACAAGCTGATTTACAAAGGGCTGCGCCTGGCATGCTTCCAATGTTTACATGATTTAATTTAATTTAGTTGATGAAACAGCTGGTCAGTACAATGAACTGGTCTTTGTTTATTTACTCGAATAAGATGTTTGTGACGCTTTATGTAGATTGAGGAGGGTTATGTTTGGTTTTAAAGTGAGGTTGTATACGTTTTGTAAAGTATTGCTCAAAGTTTCATTTTTTTATTTATATAGTAATCTACATTTGAAGAAGCTTCAATAAAATTGAAGAAAATGGTAAAACATGTCATTCATAAAGCCTCAATATGAAGCAATAATTGATACTATTGCTACACTAAGTTATGTTGTCATATTCTTAGGGATCTATAACATCAAAAGTAGGGGTTTGAAAGTAAGTAAGTTCAGGCTTTTAAATCAGTTTATATTTTCAAACTATATCATAGAGTTGCTGTATGTATTTTAAAACACACATCAGCACCACTTTAATAGCTCTCTAGGTCACATGTTCTTCCCGTTGCAAAGCACGGGTATAGCAGCTTGTACCTATATAATCATACACGTTATACTGATGTAAAATTATACCTTGAGAATAATTTTAACACCAACATATGATATCTTGTTTGGAAACAGTTATCAAGTTCGACAAAAACATATTGATGTAACTAGGACATTTTTTACAGAATCTTTATACAGCAACAAATCCTCAGTGCCGTAGGTAAACATGTAAAGTAGCTTAGATACTTAATTGCCAGCTTAGCTCAGTCCCTAGAAGCAGGTTACATTGTTGAACCAGGGACATAATGACGTATTAATACACATAAAAGTTACCTAATAACATAAGTATAATGACTTTTCATTTTATTTTATTAAATACTTTGTTAAGTAAAAAGGAATATCAAAGTAGAACAACGTTTTAGCCAACAATAAAGAAAAGCGTATTGACTCACTTGATGCACATATTGAAGTACTGTAATAGAGTAAGATGGTGTCATCTTCTATCTCATGGTGGGTGAGAGTATGGGAAATTTGAATGTCTAAGTTTCCACTTGGGGTTACCGAAATGATGTACCAGGTAATCAAATTCACCAGGCAATTTTCATATCGGTATGGACCCATGGGGATTAACTGTAGGTTTATAAAAGTGCCTTGAATAAATTTAGAATATTCTCTAATGGTAGATTTTAAAATAGAGACTCCATTACATACTTCATCAAAGCAGCAAATTTAACTTTGCTCACTAGGATGTTATCACTAACCTGGAGAGGTAGGGATGTCTTAGCGCCTGTGCGGCTGTCAAACGTCTCGTCGGGTTGAACACTAACAATCTGTGAACAAGGTCAAGTGCGTCCGACGGACATCCGCCCAGCAAAGTCTCCAACGACAGCCGTGGACCTTGCGGTGCCCTCTGCAGCAGTGAACTGCCGTAGCCAGTACATACACTCTCTACGTCTGCCAACATGACAACAATGAAAGTGGAAATGTGCCGTTCATCGGAAGACATGCAAGACAGTAAGTCAGCCAACTGAGAATTGGGGATATCTTGATTATTACAATTACCTATGGGGACACATGGCCATATTTCAACCTGAACATAAGTAAAAGTAAAATATGTCTGTAGAATAAGGTAAGATGGTATGTTTGGCTTTGTTGCTGACTAGGACTAGCTGTTCTTTAGTACATAACAATCTTGGACTGTCTCAGAATCGAACTGGCAACCTTTCAAATACAAGGCTCATACACAATTTTACACTCACCCTATATTTTTGTATTCTGCTTAAAATATACATACCTAAGTGTGAGTCATTGTTAAAAATTAATTCAATCGTCTAATTCACAAAATCCAGATTTTAATGTAATTAATCACAATACGAGTAAACTATTTTGAATATTATGATATAAACTTTCTCACTAACTAAGCCTAATTCATATATTTTGGTATGTATTTTGTTGTACCTTTAGGAGAAGGAGGTTCGATGGTAGCCATGATTTTCTCCACTTGATTAACCGTAGACGAGCCCGGAAACAATGGTTTTCCCAGAATCATCTCAGCCAAGATGCAGCCAATACTCCACATGTCAATTCCTTTGGTGTACCTGTATGATTAAAATAAAATATTCAATTTGACATATTTAAAATTGCTTTTTGAGAAAGATTTAACTTCCCTCCTCTAAAAGATGTGACTTTTTCTAGGAATTCAGGTACACATGGAGTTGTTGTCCTATTACAGAGGGTGTAATTCTCCCCAAGAGTCTAGAGGGAATAAGATACAAAGGAAGCTGCTCAACGAGGATGGTCAAACTACACCAATTAACATAGGTTCTATTAGTTGTGTCCAATGATAGCCTTTGCATTGCTAGGTAAAATTATGATTCGACCACTGGACGAGCTCTAGTTATAATTAATATATATAATTAATTAAATTATGCAGGTTTTGCGTTTGACAACAGAAAGAAGAGTTGGGTCTGTCCATTTCTACGGCTACAACAAATAATGACTAAAATGTATTTTGTCTTGTCAAACAATCCTCAACATGTTAAACGTTTAGATCATTTTCACAGATATTTTACAATAATTCAAAACTCTGTTATCGCCAGGCTCCAAAAGGATATACTGAGGTGTCATCAGAAACAGTTATAACACACAATCATGGTTTACAAGTAACACAAAGAGCCTTAGGTAGTACATCTGGTCTGACAATGACAGAACTTTTTAAACCATAAAATTATATGTTGCAAACAATCTACGATAAGTTCACATACTGAGAATCTTTTGACAAGGTATGTTTTAGCCATTGTTGGTTATACCACGTGGTCCTGGAGCTAAAAATAATTATAAAGATACAACACTTAAACAATAAGAGTAATCACCTTTTAGCAGCTACCAGTATCTCTGGTGCGCGGTACCATCTGGTAGCTACGTAGTCGGTCAGTGAAGGGTCCACGGGGATCTGTCCTGCGTGGCTGCTGAGTTGCAAAACTGACCTCGCCAAGCCAAAGTCAGCTACCTTGCAGTGGCAATGGCTATTCAGCAGGATGTTAGACGGCTAGTGAGGACAAAGCACAACATTGATGAATCCAAGGTAAGTAATTTTGTAAAGATATCCTTAGGCTTAGTTTGGAAGAATTTGAGTTACGGTAAGTATGTTGAGCAGGCTTACCTTAGTGACAAAAATAGTTTTTTTCTTATTTTGCCTCGCCTTCACATTCTAGCACCCTAGGATCCAGCCCGAAACTATTTTACACATTTCCTAAGAGACGAAAATAGGACGACCATTGGGGAGACCAAGATTACGGTGGAAAGATCCTAAGGTGCAGAAGGACATCCAGAAGAAATCAGACGTCATGCAAGATCGAGATGATGGCGAGCAGCTGTCGTCGAGGACAAAAACCTTTTAGGGTTTAGTGGCTGCATGTGTAAGGTAAGCTTCTTAAAATGTAGAGTCTTTTGGTTCTTGTTGTCTTCAGACTCTACTCAACTGAAGTAGGGGCTAATTGTTCTAAAATTCAATGTTCTTGGGTTTATTTGTTCGCAGCATGCTTTGCTACCCTATTTTTGTCACTGAGATAAACATGTTGTTTAATCTTTCCGAACAAAAAATCTTTGAATCTAAGGTCTAAGGTAACATTGTTTAAAACAATTAAATTTCTAAAACAATGTGAAGGACCTTTTACACTATTGCACTTATTTACTGATGTGGCTCTTGGTACTCAAGGTGGTACTTTGCCTTGAAAAAAACACTCCCCCCAGACTTCCCTTCTTCTCAGTTTTCTCAGATCTTTTCTAGAGTATGATCTCGCTACCTCGACTTTGCTTATCTTCTGTCCACAAAATTGTTGGAAGATATTGTTTTGACTGAGGAACTATTTCCTTGGTATGTCTAGCCTCTCTACCTCCTGCTTCTGTCCACTGGCATGAAATCCATATGCATGGTAGATTTTCGGAGTGTAGCTCTGTGTGTCACCGATGGTGTTGTTTTCCTTTGCCAAATATTATCATAAATAAATATGTAAAGTAAGAGTGTTTATTGATTTCATGTACAATTTTATTGTTATATGGTTTTAATACATTTTTGTATTGATATATGTATAAAATCTCTGTGTCACTGATCGTGTTTTAAAATCAAACACAAATATGAAGGGTTAATATACCTTGAGATCCCTGTGAATCACATTGCCAGAATGAATGTACTTGATTGCTTTGAGCAGTTGGTAGACAATGTAGCGACGGTGAATGTCTTTCAGAATGTTCCCCTTCTCAATTATGTTGTGAAGATCAGTCTCTACAAATAAAAACATGGTTGAGACAAGTAGAGTAACAACAAAAACTCTGTATACTAAACTGCAAAACTACAAAAAAATTCCTTGTGTACACACTAGAACATTGTTAGCCAAACTGACAAACGCTTGCAACTACACTTTGGTTAAGCTCAGATTCACACCGAACAGGCTGCAGCGTATTGTACAAAAACAATTTCTTCAGAAGAAAAACTTTTTAGATTAATAATTTGCCGCGATTGGGGGTGATGATAATGGTGTCCTTGTGATTGCAAGAGATGTTCATGATTTTGCTGTGATCCAACTATCGGAAAGTTCCATCCATCAGGCAGGGGCCCCTCTCTCCTAGTTAATTTGGCCTAGGTTCACAAGTGCCCTGGTTCTGGCACTGCAGATTAAGCTGGATCAGTCTCTCTACATATCACTACTTATAGAATGGATCTATATTGGTGGTTTTAAAAGAGAATATTTCAGAAATGTCTCCTTTGTATCTTAGTTGCTGACTAACACCAGTTTTGTTTAGCCACATCAATATTTATATGAGGCACAAAGTTATTAATTTACCTGCTGCTCAATTTTGACTGACTGACAAAGAACTAACCGAGGGATTCTACTGTAGTAGGCCTACCAATCAGTCAAACTTACCCATATACTCAAAGATCAGGTATATATCCTTATTGTTCAAAGCTCTATGAACGTTATGCAGCTTAATGATGTTAGGGTGACTGCTGAACTCCTGCAGGAACATAATCTCCCTGAAAGTCCGTTGAGCATCTGTCGGATTTCTGAACGCATCAAAGATTTTTTTAACAGCAACAGCTTCTTTAGATTTTTTGTCAATTGCTTTCCAAACGATTCCATAAGCCTGAAAAACAGACACTTACATTGCATTACAGTAACTTAGTTGTTAATGGCTAATGAATTTGACAGTTGAATTTTTTTCAATGACAGTATTTTAACCATCAGACAGACATACTTTTAAATGATTCAAATGATTCAAATGATTCAAATGATTTATTTGGCCATTCAGTTCATATACAGGACAATAGGCTACGTCAACAATACAATAAATAATAAATAACATGCCAAGCTTCTTCTAGCATTCTTGACTGACAAAATTAAATTAAAAGCTGAAAAAAAACACATGCAGGATCTCAAAAACATGCAAAGCAATGCATGTTAGAATTTGATGTAAGACTTACAGGTAGCCTATAATTGCTAGAGCGGTTCAGCAAAAATAGAACACCCTTGGGATGGCAAAATAAAAAATGTGCTAACAGTCACTAACTGTCAGTAGCAAGTGCAATCCAAGGCAAGGCGGAAAGTGATGCGGAAAATGGGTCTAGCTCTAACATGAAACCATGTATATTCATGGGTAGAGGTAGCGTATTTTCCTGTTACATCTTTGTTCCTTGCAGTTTGTCTCATGGGAGGAACATTTTCCAAGACTTACAGTTAAGTAATTTTACAATTAAAATTTTGACTTGTTTCAGAGTAAGTTATTTAAATTTGTTTTTTGTCGCTTTAATTCATTTTTTGGGATTAAGTTAAAGTATTTGTTTCAAAACTCTTTTTCAGAGTCTCAATATTTTTTTCAGATTTTATGTTACCTACCTATGTAGCTAAATGTATGAAAAAAAAAATACCGGTACCGTAGGCCTATTTATTTGGGAGTAAATTAGTTGTTTTTAAAATTAAGAGCCACTTGGTAGGTGAAGTAAATTAATACCGTAGTTAATTTAAGAAATGTAAAAAGAGATTTAAATTTAATTTTCATTACAAACTGAAGAGGTTGTGCTGCTTTTCTCCATGTAGGCCTATTAAACTTTAAAGTTTATTTCATTAATTCCATGTTATCGGAATTAATTTTTTTAGATGATTTTTACCTTTAATAATTGAGTACGAGTGAGGGATTTTTGTAATAAAAAAACCAATAAAATTTTTTGTGAAGTTTGTTATAAGACTTAGGAAATCAAAGAGGTTTGAAATGACAGAAACATTTTAAACATCATTCTCAAATTAGGCCTACTGTTTCTTGTCAAATAATAAATTTGAACTATTTCCATTTTTTTCACTTAGCCTATTCTTTATAATTAATATGTTGGGCCTAAATCATGGATATGTCACATTAGTTATGGACAAGGCCTAAAGGCAGCAATATTATTGAAAATGTCTAGATTCAACGAGTCCATTAAAATAGGTAGCCTAGGCTAGGTTGGTGGCCTCTTTTACCTTTCATTTGCCCATCGATGGGCCATAAGGCTTGTGCGTGGAACTTATCCAAGAGGGGTAGGCCGGTGCAGTACAAGGGTAAACTGTACTATCAAAAGTAGTGGGAGGTACCAGGATTCAAGCCCACGACTGACTTGGACCTGAAGGCCGTGGCGCTAAATCAAACTTAAATATTACTTAGGCCTAACTTAACGCACATGTAAAAATTGTAAGTAAATACTGGAATCAATTACACTCAGGAAGAAAAGGTCTATGAGGGATTCAGAATTTCAATGAGGATTTGATTTCTTAATGTAGGCCTACTCATTTCTAAATACCTATATTTACAGATGAAAACGTTAGGCAAAAAGCTCTACCTTACCCCTTTTCCGATTCTTTTCTTGAAGTCATACTTTTGAATTATATGATCGTCTATTTCTTTCAATGAACTGTGCATTATTCAAGCTGTGAAAGATAATTAATTTTAAATATATTTTTCAAAACACTAGACATTACACAACGATTTAGAAATTCTTCTTACAGTAAACACCCTAGGTTGATAATTATACAATTTTCTCAATAAATGCTGTACAAACTTTGCTATTGAGGGAATTCATGCATGGTTAGTCACTGAATTTAATTTTGAACTCCACTTAAAAAAAACACCAAGAATCGAAAGTAGTTAAAATAAAATGTATATAACTAACATAAACAATAAACTTGTTTGGTTAGTTTGTACTTCACATCTACATCTAGTTGCCATGCCAACCAGTAGACATTTAAATCATCTGTCTGTATTGACCAATCACATTGGATGGAAACAGACAATCAGCTGTTTTTTAACCAGCTGACAAAGCCAAAGCCTGAGCTGTAGCTGTAGTGAGTAACTGAGTATAGTGTAGTGAAGTGACTGAGACGAGACAGAGATAGACTGACAGGACAGACTGTATTCAAAATTATTCAATTCACGTGAGATTAAGAATGATTTGCATTGCAATTGCAATGGATTTTCTTTTTGCATTCAATTCAAAATCCTCCATAACATTCAGTTTTTGTGACAGAAAGTAAAGATGAATATTTATATGATCATAAGCCCTTTTTTCAACCCACAATGTTGTTTAAAATTAAGACAATCTAGATTCTTGGCTGTGACGTCACTATAAGCCAAGCTACTCTCACTCTGCCAAGGTAGTGCCAACTACAACTTCTACTTCTGTCTTCTTTCTTTCTTTGCGCAGAAGCGATTGCTGTGTTTCAAGGTGACGTTTAAGGGCGCCAAATTTTGGCAGATGATTGCACTTTACATTCCAAGTCTCATTTCAGCACATATCCTAACTTATCGGCTGTGGTTGTGATGTGACATGCGGTTGTGTAATAAATGTGTTTTTCTTTCAACCTTTTGTACTTGGTCGTGAGAATGGACGGAAAATGATGTTTAAACTTATTTGAACTTTTATGAGACTTTAAAACACCTTGGGAATATGTCTAGATTCGCTGGGAGTAAGTCAAGTGCATGCAATTTGATGTTTTTTGAACTTTCAACCCTACACCTGAGAAGACAGGAAAGTGGAATGTTTTGTTTGCCGATGTTTACAATGATCACATTATTGTTTGTGATGTGACTAATATAAACACAATTTAGGCCTAATCTAGTAAGTATGAATTTGATAATAAGATTTGTTTTAACTTTATGTACCTATCTAACTTAACAAAAATTGTAGCATTCTGAATACAGTCTTTGAATGAACTGTCATTTTGTAGGTTTTGGACCAACCTAAATTATTAACTTGAATAGTCTACTTAAATAATTGAGCAGATTTGATTGAAAATATGTTCAACTAGACCAAACAACAACAGTAAGTTATATGTGCCTAAGCATCATACACAAATTCCAGCTGCGGTTCTTATACAAACGGTGACTTTGTTCGACCCTAATTTTGCTTTAAATTTTTCTAAAATAGAATATTCAGTTGCGTGAAAAGGGGAGGGAGGGGCAGGAGTTTGAGTGGGCTTGGATGCTAATGGGTCCAAATACTCTTCTGGGCTCTATGGAATTTTTGAACAAAAATATGTTTATACAACCTCTGCTAAGATATGTTTAAATTTCATTCGTCATCTACTAAGGCAAAAACCACTGAATAATAGATAATCACCATCTTACAAAATATTTCACCTAGGCTATATGAATTATTTAATTTAGTACCAGGGGGCCCCTGTAAGATGAAGACGTGCAATAAGACGGGGTTTTACAAACTATTTAAATCTTTGTTCTATGTGCAAAAAGGGAATCTGGGAGCAGCATAATTTTTCCTTGATGTCGATGTCGGCGTCAGCAGTATTTTTACAGGAGAGGCAATGAACAGTGTGCTCTTGAAGCTTTTGAGTTGTGGATGTGCTGGGAATTGAACCCGTTGAATATTTTGTGGGGGGGGGGGGGGTGGATTGAAATTTTCTTTGCCACTAATAAGAAGTCGTCAGTTTATTCAGGGGTGTTAATGATGATTATTTCAGTCATATACAAAACATGAAGACATTAGAAAGCTTACACAATGACAATAGCCTATACCGTATGTATTATGAACACACTATTTTAATGTTTTGTTAGGCCTAGTGTTGTTTTCACTTTTGCTTGATGATGATGTTTTTTATGGATTTTGAACAGAATGTAAGTCATTAAGCATGTTTAGCTATACGGTTGCATATCAACTTAATTTAAGGAAATATATTTTAAAATCAAACAATAAAACTATTTTAGCCAGAAATTTTTAAGGAGCCTTCATTGTTGATTATCATTATCAATTGAGACGGGGAACCCATCTCTTTAATTTTAAGTTAGGCCTACTTTAATAAATCCTCGAAGCAGTGCTTGTAAATTTCATAATTGTTATATTATCTACCAATTGAGATGGCGACCTAGGTGTGTATTTTAACCCAAACATGAGTGAATGATGAGTGTAGAATGTAGTGAGATGCCTTTTGTACCTTTGTTAATGAATAAATCCCGCTTTAATTAGCCATAACAATTTTATTAAAAGCCCAATAATCAAGGACAGCTGGATCCAGTTTGAAACCACCAAAAAGCCACCGAACTTTATTTTTTTATGATCTAACTGTCAACCTTTTGGTTACCAGGTGAACAATATATAACCGTTTAAGTAACTTTTCCATAAAACTTTTAAAAATAAATAAATAAAAATGTCTTTATTTATCAAGCGTTTCTAAGTACAACTGCGTTTCAGAATAAATTTTGTCAATAACAATAACTAAACTAACAAATAAATAAAGAGAAAAATAACTAAACAGAAACAATACAATATAAATAACAATAAGCAACCATCAGCGTGGTAATTCTTTTAATCTCTTCTTTTAAAAGCCCCTGGGGCAGAGCCCAAGAGACTTAAAAAAAATGTAAGGTCAGTTTGCTAACGCTATGTACGTTCTTCGCTACATAGGCCTACGCTCTTTCCAATGAGACGTGAATGGTCAAAATCAGATAAGAAATGGCGGAGGAGTTCAAAGGACAAATTTCTTGTTGGCGTATTAATTATAGTACTGGGGGACCGAGCCTTGCTCGGTTGTGGTTAATTACGTTTAATAGTTAAAACAATATCTTAAACAGGCATTTGAAAATGTACAAAAATCATTTTTATTACAAACTATATACATTTGATTGCTGAAATAAAGAAATAGTAACAACTCTGTAATGTAATGTATGCAATTAAACAAAAATTAGATACACTTTTATGATCTTGCTTAAGTTTAATTACTACTTGCACAGAATCTTTCTCCCCTCAAGTCATCGTAACCCGTTGTTCGACTTTTACGCTCACAAAAGACAGCAGATAAAAAACAAAATCATATTAGTTTCAAAATGGCTTGTGACAACGATTTTTCTCTTTTTCGCTACTAACTTACGTCTTAAGAAATTGAGATTCTGTCTGTTTTTTTTATTTTTTTTATTGGGATTTAGCATAGGCCTACAGTAATAGTTTTATGCCAATTAAAACCCCCAAACGTAATTAGTTTACTTGGAATACCTCAGTACTTCAGGGTTTATGTTTTGATGGGAATGGGCCAGGTAAAATAATCAGTATTTGATCGGAACTACTTTCGAGTAATCATTAGTGTAATCTTTGCTCAATTACAACTGATGTTTTTCCCTTTGTACTGTATTTTGTAATTTGCTAGTATACTGTTGATGGCTTGTTGTAAACACATGTTACAAGTATTTTGTTTACTTTTCCTTGTTATTTGTTCAACCAACATAGTTACTTAGCATCCCATAAGGGCAATATTATTTTTTTAATTTTCAAATGAGTTTTGTAGCGAAATACGAATTTCCCTGAGGTAGTGGCTGTCACCAATCACGTTTTAGGGCAATAAGTCCCTAATTCCAGAATTCTATAAAAATCCTTCCGCTGGATTTGGAGATATATATTATAGACAGAAACAAAATTATCTCGTATTATAGTAGGTATAGGATAGGATAAATTAAGTTTCTTTACAGTCTAGCTTGGCTAAAAAGTTGGCATATTCCACAATCATAAATCAGTGATTTACAGCTCGCTCTGCCGAATGCTCGGATCGTTTATTTTTGTTCTAAAACTGGCTACAACTGTAATATGGAAATGGAATGTCTCGTTCCACACTCAAAGAAGTTTGAAGTCAACATTGAGACAAATACAACATACCAAAAATATTGTATAGGTATAATAGGCTATCCAAAAATCAGTTCTGTGTGAATAATTAGTCTTTACCTATTACTGTGTTTGTATTTATTTGTTGATATATTACGGTCTAAATAAAGTTAATCACCTAATAAGTTATTTCAGTATCTAATAATAATTGAATGATTAATAATATGGAGAACATCTTAGCATCAATGTATACATTTTATACATTTTTATTTATTTTAACCATTGTCATAATAAGTTATGTAGGCCTAAAATAAATTCTTAATACGCATCCATCTGTAACAAAATTCTATTTCAAATTTCATCCGTGGCTCATCCAGAGGTTTTCCTTGATAAATCTTTTTTTCAAAATTAACCTTTCAATTTTATATTAGTAAAAGTAATGAATTATAAACCTTTTTCTCTGCTGTTCAATAACCTCTAGTGTTTTGGCTAAGAACCTAGACATTTAAACCAACGAATAATAGTCCAAAAATATAATTAGAACTACCAAGTTCACTCTATAAATAAACAACTCGACTTTCATCATTTCTTTGTCTTGTCAACTGACCAAGAACTACAAAGTTGACGCGCACAACCAGATCACTTGTTTTAAACTCGTTCGGTTTAAGTTTGATTTACAATTAAAATATATTACTTTTCCTGTAAACTGTAACTACTGGCTACTGTAGTTGAGACTGTTTTTTAATGTTCAAAGAATTTTAAAATCTGTTATTGAGACATTCTTGTCAATCATTACAATAGCAGGACTGTTTCTATACATCTAAAGTAACCAAGGGATTGATATTGTTGATTGTTCATATATATAGTTCTGTGTTTTTCAAATGATTTTAGCTTTATTTTCTTGTTGTCTTTGTTATATTTAAGTTTAGTGAAGATTCCATGTTATAGACCATGTTATACTATCTAGAATCTATGGCCCTTTTTTTGTTAACGAGGTCTATTGTAACATATGTTATTTAATGACCAATAAAGATTTATGATTTATGATGATACCGGTATGTCTGTTGGAAGGGGTATGTTTTGCA